TGCGTCACGCTTTCGACGACAGAAGCAGAGTACGTCGCGCTAGGCGACGTAGTGAAGGAGATTTTGTTTTTGAGGCAGATTTGGAGTTTCATGTTGCCGCAGGTCGGCATGCCGTGCATTCCCGTCTTTGAGGACAACCAGGGGGCGATTCAACTAGCGCAGAACCCCATCTCAAACTCGAACTCGAAGCACATTGATGTAAGGCACCATTTTCTCAGGGAACTGGTAGAGAGGAAGGAGATTTCGGTGATTCACGTGCCGTCTCCGTACCAGCGTGCAGACTTTCTTACGAAAAGTTTGCCCAAGGATGCGTTCGAGTCTCACCGTGATTTCGTGATGAATTTGGCATGAGTTTTTATTATTTTTCTGATGAGTTTGGTTTGGCTTTCGATTTGATTGTTTTGCTTTCCGCGCTAAGTTATTTTCACGCGCGATGCAGCAGTATTCATGTTTCTTGGACTTGGTTTTCGTGTCATATATTTTGGAAGTAATCTTGATCGCATATATTCAGGAAAAGACGTCTTTTGGTTGAGATATCCGGTATTGTTTCGTAGTTTGCAGTGAAGATACTGTTGCGAGCAGGGGGGATGTAAGATATACTCGCAGCAGTCTCTAGACGTGAGGATCCTCGGGGATACGTGTTGAGAATTTCGTATGTTGATGGGTACCACCGATGCAGATACGGGGACCCTTTTGGCCTTGGTTGCGGTGTTGAAGGCTCGCGCATCTAGCGCACTGCTTTCGCTCTCTCCACCGCTACCGCCGTCTCTCTCCAATCAAGTTTCCTTCTCCCACTCTCTCTCTCCAAATCTCTCTCTCTCGGTCTAACACGGCCGACTACCCAGTGCCCCAAGTAACGTCCAGAACGTGCTTGCGGCACCCCGCGTAGTTTACCTTTCACACTAGTGCATTCATCCATCGCTCCCGATCTCCCTCTTTTGCCTCTTCCTCCGGCGCTTTTTCTCCGTCAACGCACTCTTCATCTTCGTCCATGGGTTCTTCGTCCGTATATCTACTGGCTGCCGACGACGAGGCGCCCACGCCGTAAGGGTCACCGGCGCCCACGCCACATAGGTCATCGGCAGAAGATCCGGCACCAGCTGTAAACGTCTGCCTTGTAGAAACTTGACCAGAACTAGAACATGATGAAAAAATCCTCGGCGCCCCCGCCGCCGCCGACGTCGCCACCCCTCTACCTTCAGATACGCCACCCGACAGTGTTGCTGCTGCTTCTGCTCCTGCTGCGTGGGGGACTCCAGTTCCAGCGGATGCTGCTGCTGCTGCTGTTGCTGCTGCTGCTGCTACTTGTGAACTCATGCATGAATTCTGGGAGCTACCACGGCTTGAACTCGGCTCTTTCCCACTCACGCCTCTGTTGCCCTCTGTGCCGTGGCTTTCGTAACCTACTCGCCGCTCGAGCCTGTCCTCCGATTGATCGCAGTGAGCGCAGAAGTGATCAAATCCATAAGGATTCAGGTCGTGACTAACTGCCATCGAGATCCTCATGTGTCCCGCGTTCTGATGCCTTCCACACATTTGGCACCGGAACGGCTGCTGTGCGGGTGCCTCGTATCTATCCGACCTGTCTCTGTCGGCCCTTCCGTAGTTTCCGCGACCTCGTGATCCAGTTCCTGCTGAAGACATGACGATCAAGCCTGGGCTGACGATCGGCCGCCCCACTGCCGCCGCCGTTTGGCGCTTTGCCTCGCTTCTTCTATGAGATGGGGTGTGGTGTTGTGAAACGTGCGATGTAATCTCGCCGCTCTTGTTCTTGGGGCCAAAAAAAAACACATCCCAGACAGTTTGCCCCCCTTTGGAAGAAGAAAGGGTAGAAATTTGCCGCAATGTACACTAAATCCATACGATCGATGCATAGTCGGCTTCTTGGTACGTACGTAGGATGTACAGTAGGGGGCCCCGGCCAGGGAGTAGTGTCAAGAAATTCGTGGGGGGGAGGACGCGAAGTCAATTCTACGTATACCAGTACGGGTTTTCGAACGATGATGCGTTTCAACTCTTGTGGTTACAACAAACGATAGTTTGTCCCGTCTCCGACAACAAACTTGTTCTCTTCCGAGTTTCGTAATAATCCGTACCGGTTTCTAGGTCACCAAGGATACAGAGAGAGAAGGGATTTGAACCAACGCTGAACACCACACAACCCTCGCGCCTGATTCCCACTACAAAATCTAGACAAACGTTTATCTCTCTCCGCACCCGAGTCAGCTATTTCCAGCCGGGGGGAAACCGGCTACTGCACGCAGCGGTCTGACGTGACCGACGGATCCCACTACTACTTGCTGAACGTTTGCCAACGGCGACCAGTTGATGTTTCTATTTATGTTTTTGTAGGTTGCGCCGGATCCGGTTCCACCCGTCGCGAGGGCGCGCCTGAGCCCTCGTCCAAGATGCCGAAGAGGAGCTGGGTGCACGGCACTACAGAGTAGCGATCGACCTTGTTCGGAGGCAAAGGTCTTCGGAGCTATGCTACGGTAGGGGGGATACCCCTCGTGACCGGCTTTTTGTAATCAACTAGCTATTGGGCCCGTGTTGTGTGACGCTCTCCAATACTTATTGGTATTACAATCAATCAGTGACTGACACGGGACCACAAGTAAGTGTGCCTACAGAATTGGTGTACTCTGGCTGGTCAAATATAGCGCAGTCCTGTGGTGTCGGTCACACATGCCCCATAATGTGACCCCCTTACCGTAGCATTACTCCCGACTACCTACTGAGCTGGCGGCGGTGGCCCAAGCCAGCCCCCGACGTCAGTAGCTGGGCACAGTTCGAACGACTTCGTACTTCACTCTGGACCCGACTAACCCACTGAGTTGGCGGCGGTTGCCCGAGCCAGCCGCCAGGTCAGTAGCAGGGCACCGTTCGAACGACACGGCACAGTCACGCACACTAACGACGTGAAGCCGCGGCATAGTCACTCACACGAACGAAGTTAAGTACAACTAGGGATAAGGATTGGCTCCCCGCCCCCTCCATTGGGAGGGCGGCCACACCGGGATGGATGACGGTGAGGGTTTGTGGGGAAGTTAGGAATGAGAAGGAAGACGACACGTTAAAAGTAGCAAGAAGGGACGGTGAATGGACTAGATGTACCTTAAGCCCCAGAGCCAGTTAAGCACCACTCGCGATATAGTGAGGGTAAAGTAAATATTATCATAATACAAAGATTCATCGCGTTGACCACAGACTCTTCGGCTTCGTTTAAGCCTACGTTTGTTGGATATAGCATTTCATTTGATTTTTCCCAGTTAAATCACCAACTTTCTGCTAAGGATCCTCATTCAGAAAGGTATGAAACTGTGCCTCTTGTCTACCATTAATTCTAGGAAAATTGGTGGTAGAGATCACCTTTAGACAGGGAAGGTTGTAGGTGCCCAATCTTACGCGCCTTTTGTTTGTTTTTCTGCCGTGCGCTTCATTTTTCTTGCTTTTTCCCCTCGATTTTGCACCGAAAATTGGGCACCAATCGGTCGTACGCGAAAAAAGTGGCTCAGGCGGTTTCTTATGAGGTTCGGAAATCCTCTTCAAAAATGTGCAATTTCCCTTTCGGAAGAAAATGACAACAACGTGTCGGTCAAGACGCTTCTTATTGTGCAGTCGTTTTTTGTTTTGCATTGCTGGCTACAAATGATGTCAATTAATTACTCGCAGGACGTTGTCGACCGTCGGCCGTCATTGTACTTGACAATAGAATTCGTAAAGATATGCAAAAAAAAATCACATTGTTTTGCTGTTGCTGTGTGTAACTGGGTTGAGTCTTTGGCGGGTATATGAGTACCATGCCCACCATGTATAGTCTAGACGCCGTGCCATGATTCCAGGAGCGCCCTCACTGCATATTGCGTCGGAGAGAACGGCAGTCCAGCAGATATTACACTCGAGGAGGTCTGTCAGCAGTAGTTGCGGTCAGGACAATAAATGCGTATGGTCTACGCAGCAGCAGCACTGCTGTACAGCAGCTGTACAGCAACTGCCCACACAGCACGATATGGCACAGCCGCGTACGCGTCTTCATGATTCCACCCCAACCATTCCCTCAGCTTTGGCAGCGCCTGTGTAGATGGCGAACGCGTGTGAGAATGTTGCTGAACGCCGACACGGGGAAGAGCACCCTCCCCGGCATGCAGCGTACACTGCGTACAGCGACTACCTGCGCGGGCGTGCCCACTACTGGAGGTTCGTACAGGAAGCCTCACGCGACAATTGACAGCGACTCGAGTACACACGGTATGTGGGACATTGTAGCACGGATGGGTGAAGATCGCCCTCCATGGTACATCCAGCAAACCACAACCACACCACCCGAGAACAACTGGAATTTTCGAAAGAACGTACGTCAAGACCATTCTCCGGTCTCCGCATAAGAAGGGTCCAGACAGTCTCGGGGGAAGATATGACAGGCACACCCGCACACACGCCTGCCATCAACCACAAGTAAACGTTTCAACATAATCTAGGTTGATACTTTGATCTCCGCCACCGATCGACGACACCTCACTCCCAACGAAGACGACGTACGCAGGCGAGTACACGCGGCGTGCGATATTGTGTCAAATATGGTATGCATATGCATGCAGGAAAATAGACTTACGTACGCCTAAAATATGTTGTGTAACTGGTTGGAGTCTTGGCGGATGAAGGTTCTTGTTGCATGACTGGGTTGAGTCTTTGGCAGATACTAGGGGGAACGATTGACCCCCCGCCCCCCAGTGGGGCGGGCGGCCAGCATGCGTGGGATGGGTGCGGCGGTTTGATAGGCATAGCGAATAGAGGCGATGACGACATCGGTACGAAAGAAGGTTAAGTTTTTGAACCAATGTGGATCCACACTACTCTACGTCCGTCGCGTAGATAATCGTGTGTATAGTTCTGTTGTTTCGGATATGCATTCGGTGGATGCACCCACCCCTGAAACAGAGACAGACAACGATGCGTACACATTGCTGCAGACCAAGAGGGACCAATCTCATCGTACGTACGTACGAAGCGTTGGGAGCGGTTCTTGAAACAAATTGCCGTCTGCTAGCAACATACAAGCGAGGGAAGCAAGAAGTGCACGTCTACATGGCAGCACCAGCAGCAGCACAGCCGCCTGCTGCAGCTGATTGATGATGACTGAGAGTTATCCTTCGTTCAAACCAACAACAGTCAAAGTCGTTCCCGCGCTGCTACACAGCAGAGAGTCCTGCATACACGTTGCTACAGCAGTGGCAATGGTGACCTCGGTGTGATGGTTCAGGCCCCAACCACATCTATGTACCGTACGTATTTGGGACCTCTCGGGGCGGGGGGAGATGGGTACCTAGGCTTGGCTGCCACACATGGAGGTACATGTAACTCACTCAGCCCCAGCTCGACGCCTCACAGCGCAGCAGCGGTGGAATTAGCCTTGCCTTAATATCGAGACGAAAAACGTAACGGGGCAGCGACAATTCGCTGTGCACTACCAGCAGTACGATGCTGCAGATGCCAGGAGGCTGTGTAGCCTACCTCAGAGGTTCACACTCTGTGCGGCTCCGACCGCGAGAGGCTTGGAATGGAAATATGTAGATGTTTTGTATTATTTGCTGACTCCGAGTCAGATTGATGTTGCTGGTACTGAAGAGGAGTGAGAGTGGTGGGCGAGCTTAGGGCTGCACCACTCTTCTCGAATATCGGACAAATACGCCAATCACACGAAAGATCCAGAATGCTTCCATAATACTTCTGGAAGCCCTCCTACATTCTAGAAGAGTATCAACTGCAACCTAGATCTAGAACGCTTCCAGAAGCTTCCAGAAGGTTTCAGAAGTTTCCAGAAGACTTCCAAAAGCTACACACGTTCTACGTAGATGTCCCGGTCAACCTTGACCTAGCATGCTTCCGGAATATTTCTAGAACCAGAGAATACATGCCACGGAGAGATAGTTTCTTTTCTACTGCTACGCAGACTAGTTGCTGCGATCGTATTCAAAAGTCAACCCGTGTCCGACTACAGGTGGTCTCGACGCACGATTTTCCCTGACACGACCCCTCGATCAAGCAACTTATTCACAATGGTCAACCGCATCACCATATCCATTCGTACCTCGACCCCTCCGTTGGCACCGTATCGAACATTAATTCCTTCTTGTATGACGTATGACGCGTACGGTAGGAAGCTTCGATCAACACGAGAAGTCCTTGATCTGCTGAATGATGGAGGCGCATCGGTGCTTTCGTAGGTGCTTGGTCGCGATATCAGCCAACAGATGCTCGCTGGGCCGGTGGTGAAGAGTGATTTGTCCCCGCAGTACTAGTTCCCGGATGAAAAAGTACGTCAGGGCCACGCGCTTCGTGCGTTGAGAGTGCATAGCATTCCCGGCTGCTGTCAGAGCTCCAGTGCTGTCGCTGTTGATGGCAACCGATCCGAATGTCTTGAAGTTGAGTTCCGTAATATAATTTGAGATATAGACCGCCTCTCTGGCTGAGTAGCTAAGTGCTTATATCTCGGCTTCGACCGTGCTTTGCGCGGTTAGAGTTTGAGTCTTCGCACCGTAGCTGATGAATCCACCAGCCAGGAAGAAGTGATATCCCGTGGTAGATCTTCCGTTGTCGGGGTTTGCTCCGAAGGATGAATCCGTAAACGCCGCTATCCGAAACTGTCCTCTCCTGTAGACGATAGGAAGAACTGGATTACCCCAAAGGTATCGCACAACGTGCTTGGCTGCTGTCATGTTCACTTGCGCTGGGTTGCTACAGGCCTTGGACAGTTGCAGGGCCGCGTAAGAGAGGTCGAATCGCGTGCACTGGGCCAAGTAGAGGATGCTTCCCGTCGTCGACTGGTAGATTTTCTTGTCCGTGGGTCCTAGAATTTGGTCCTGATGTTGATTCGTGGAAATTTCTGCTCCGTATCCAGGAGTGCTCACTGGGTTGGTCTCTTGCATTCCGAACCGTTCCAGAAGGTGTTCACGTAGTGCTCCTGTGAAATGGCGAGGGTTCCTTGCTCGTAGTCCGCCTCTACGTCGATCCCGAGGATCCGCCTTACCTCTCCCATGTCGGTCATCTCGAATCGATCCGTGAGGTCCTTCTTCTTTTGGTCCGTGAGCTGCTGGTCTCCTCCCGTGATGAGAATGTTGTCTACGAAGACCGCGAGAATCACGATGATGTTGCCGCTGGTTTACACTTACACACAGGGGTCGGATTGAGTCCTTTTCCATCCGAACACCGTGAGAGACTCGTACAGGGTGTCATTCCAGAGCGCCGGCTACTGCGTTCTAGTTTGTACACCATGAGTTCTCCTGTCGAGGAGTTCTTGGCGGATGTACCGGGGGCGGGTCTGACGTACACGTCTCTGTCGCAGAGGGCGTGTAGGAATGCACCGACAACGTCCAGTTGGTAGATGGGCCAGTTGTTGTGGCAGCCAATGGCGCACGTCATGCGAATGCTCCCGATACGGCATACTGGGGCGTAGCTGCGTCCGTAATCCTGTCCTGGCTCTTGACGATGTCCTCCGACTACCAGGCGAGCTTTGAAGCGTCCGTCCAGCTTCTTTTTGAAGACGAATTTCGTTGCGAGGATCTTCTCTCCCTTGGGAACGCTACTGAGGAGCACCAGACTGTAGACGTGGTGTTTCCGCAGATTGTCCATTTTCTTGCTGCACGCTCCTTTCCATTCTTCGCGTTGGGGAGAGCCCATGGCTTCGTCGTAGGTGTTGGGGATTTCGATTGCTTGATTCGTCTCCTCCAAGATCCCGTTGTGATCGTGAGTGGTCGTTACATAGGCGTGAGCACGCGGCACCGTGAAGGGGTCTTCCGCCGCGTGGGCGAAATCCTCAGTATCGCCAGGGCATTGGAGCTGGGCTTGATCGGCTATCTCAGCCAGCTGAGTGAAGGAAAGACCGGATGGCTCCACGCGGCCCGTTGCAGCATGGGCTCGACCGCGGGCGTTCATGGTGACTTGCAGATTGGCGGGAACCAAGTTAACGTCGATCTGATCGTCGCTGGTGGGTTTCCAGCGCGTTCTAGATCTGGTGACCTACAGCCGCCGCATGCCGAAGGATCCAGTTGATGTAGAAGTGTCCGGTTCAGACGGGTTCGACGATGATGGGCTGGAGCTAGATGCATGGGAATCGGATGACGGTCCAGCTGGCGTCAATGAGAGGTGCGGTGATGGGGCCTCCCCGTCGCTGAGATTTTGCCCGTTTCCATGTTCGTCCTCGTTCCCGTCTAGTTCTAGGCGAAGCCCCTCCCGAGCGAGGTTGTCTTGCTGCATCTTCCGGACTTCTTGCCGAAAAAGTTCGTTCTGCGCCGTGAAGTCCAGGTCGCTCGTCGAGTGGGGGCTGTCCAGCAGGGAGGTGAAGCTCAGCACGTCGCTCTCGCACTCGTTTGCTTGAGTGGAATGCTGGAATGGTACTGACCGGGGTGGAGATTCGATGAAAGTCACATTCCGGCTCTCGACCACGGCCCCGTTGGATGGATTCAATACCCGGTAGGTCTGGCTGTCGAGGCCGAAACCACATAGCTTGCCTTCGAAAGCTCTGTCGTCCAGCTTCTTTCGGTATCTCTCGTGGTGTACGAAGGCGCGCGCTCCAATGACCCGAAGTCCCGAGAGATCAGGTGACTTATTGTGCNCGTCGAGGCCGAAACCACATAGCTTGCCTCTCAGAAAGCTCTGTCATCCAGCTTCTTTCGGTATCGCTCGTGGTGTCCGAAGGCGCGCGCTCCATTGACCCGAAGTCCCGAGAGATCAGGTGACGTTTTGTGCAACTTCGAGTATGGCGTAGCTCCCCCGAGTGCTGAGTGTGGGCACCTGTTCAACAGGTATGCTGCAGTCAGCATTAACTCCCCCCATATGGACGGCGGAAAATCTCCATCCTTCAGAAGACAGCGGGCGACTCCGGCCAGGGTTTGTCCGTCCCGTTCCGATACACCAATTTGTCGAGGGGTGTTGGTGGCGGGGTATTCGAGCTTGATAGCTGAATTGTTGGAGTAGTCTCGAAATTCGGATCCGGTGTTCTCGCCTCCCTTGTCGCAGCGAATGGTCTCGATCCGGTAGCATCCTGCCGCTGCGACGCACATTTTGTACGTGTGCACCGCCTCGGTCGTTTCAGATTTCTTGCGGAGCAGGTACACTTCTTTCATTTTCGTGTAGTCGGTGATCTTGCACACGTACGGGAAGTTGCCTCCTTTATATTTCGCAGGTGGACTAACAGACTCCATGTTGTCGATGACCGCAAGTTGTCCAGGCCGTGATAGTTCGCGAGTCGTTTGCTTCGGGTGGGGGGACTGCCTGTGTTTCGCGATCTGGCAGACCCCGCAAGGGGAGAGACTGTCGCGATAGTCCACCCCGGTACCCGTGTCCTTCCGAAGGATGTCCAGGCTCCGAGCATTGAGATGTCCAAGCCTCCTGTGCCAGGTGTCCGCGCTCACAAGCGCAAAGCAGACGGCGTTCGCCGTGTCTGTGACTGCTTCTGGTGGGGCACGAGGGATCTCGTTCCAGGTGGCTGGACGTTCTGCTCAAACGTGATGTCGAGGGTGCACATCCCTTGGTCTCGCGGATGTTGTGTGTGAGTGGAATCACCTTGCCTTGAACAGTGAGGTGCGGAATGCTCTCTTCGACGACGCAGCGCAATCCCTTTTTTAGGAGGGGGGGGGGCGAAAAAATGTTGCGACCAAGTCCCGGAACGATGAGTCCCTGAATCCGCACGCGCAATTGCTG